GTTCCGCTGGGGGTCCTGCCAATTCCATGTCCTGTCCCGTCGGGGGGCTCGCTGACTACTCTTCTGCCGGGGGTCCTGCCAACCCTATGTCCTGTGCCGTTGGAGGTTCCGCTGGGGGTCCTGCCAACTCCATGTCCTGTGTCGTTGGGGGTTCTGCTGAGGGTCCTGCCAACTCCATGTCCTGTGTCGTTGGGGGTTCCGCTGAGGGTCCTGCCAACTCCATGTCCTGTTTCGTTGGGGGTTCCACTGGATTTCCTGCCAACACCTGATCCTGTCCTGTTGGGGGTTCCGCCGAGACCTGCTCCGCCGGGTTTCCTGCCAACACCATATCCTGTCCTGTTGGGGGTCCCGTCGACAGGTACTCCGCCATGTTTCCTGCCAACACCATGTCCTGTCCTGTTTCGGGTCCCGTCGACACCAGCCCTTGCTCCGTCGGGGCTCCCACTGACACCAGCCCATGTTCCGTCCAGGGTCCCGTCTACGCCTGACCCGCAAGGGGTTCCACCAGCTCCTGCTCTCGATCCCAGTGCTCTGGCGATCTAGCTGACAATGGAGGGGTCCCATCGCGGCCTACGCCGTCTTCCTGCCCATCCTCCGGAGCTGTCCCGTCGCCGCCTTCTTGCCCATCCTTGTGCCCGGCCGCCTGGGTTCCCCAGCCGCGGCCCTCGCCCTCGAGCCCGGCCCCCTGAGTGCCGCGGACTTCGCCCTCGAGCCCGGCCCCCTGACTCTTCCAGCCGCTGCCTTCGCCCTCATGCCCATCCCCCTGAGTTTGCCCGCTGTGGCCTTCGCCCCTTTTTTAACTCTGCCTTGCCCCCGGGCCGTCCGCCCGAGACCCCCACCATGAACTTTGCCTTGCCCCCGGGCCGTCCGCCTGAGACCCCCACCATGAACTCTGCCTTGCCCCCGGGCCGTCCGCCCGGGTCCCCCTTCTCGGCTTCTGCTTTGCCCCGGGATGTCCGTCTGAGTGTGTTACTTCCTCTTAATGATCATCACAAAAACAGACCAAAAAACGTTTTCATTGTATTCAAAAATCTCTCTTCCTCACCCACTATCTCTCCCTCTCTTACAAAGAGACAAAGACATGTTAGTCTCCTGCTCCAGCTGTGTCTTAAGAAGTCAAGGCCAGACCGGTAATCTGACTGGTATAGAATTTACTGAATCTGTATCCATTACAGGATGTAAAACCCCTCAGTCCCAAACCCTCCTTCACCTTCCACCTTTTAGAAATTTCAAGATCACTTGTTTTCCTCTCAAACACACAACATAGGACCTTTTCAAATATCGCATAACAGGGACTTATATTTATGTCATGCTTTGTCTCTGAGCCGGTATATCCTTAACTCCTGCCCCACATTAGCCTTCTGGATCCTGCCTTGTTAAGCCTCCCCTACTCAGCGACCCCCGGTTTGTGGCCCCAGCTGTGTTGAAGAAAATATTTCAGAAATCACACAAGGAAGATGAAAAAAGGATAAATCTAAGTTGGAGGTTTACCTCAGGACACCAACAAATAGTTTTTAACAAACAGCAACAGCTGTGTTTCAGTTTCATAGCCAGCATATCTGTAGTTCTGATAAGGTATCTGTTTCTAGGGAACTCAACACATCCTGCCAGGAAGCTTTAAGGCTGAGGAGCAGAGCGCTCCACCATCAGTTTGATACATTGACTCAGCTTTCACGCCTTCTACTTCTCTTTCCTCAAAACTGCATTTCCTGCTAGAAATGTCTGATTCAGTTTTCCTCAAGTATTATAGTTTTGTCAATGTCTTCTTGAGAGCTAAGAACCCCCTCTATAAATTAAACTGAGTGCTTTTTAAGATGTTGAGAAGCATCCATTTCACTGTGGGCGAAGGTCAGTGCTAATCAGGCATGCAAATCAGAAACAACATCATCTTTATCAAGCAGGTGTTAAGTGACAGAGAGGGAGAAAAGATGAGGCACACAGATGTTTCCAAATATTTTTTTGCAAACTTAAAACAATGTTTTACATAAAAACAAAATCTGAAAATCTGAAAATTCTGAAATTCTGCAGAGAGTAACAGAGTCTCATTAGCGGACAGTGACAAAAGCAAAGTAACTGGCAAAGCTTTGACTGTGAAAACTGATACAGCGGTGCTTATTTCCACCAAGGACAATGAAATGTAAGATATCACGCTCACTCCTCACTTCCCAGAACTCACATTGAAGATTGCAGCCTGGCATAGGTGGAAGGTCACAGAGACTGTATGTGTGTGAGTGTGCGTAAGCTTGTGCACATTCCCAATGCTCTCATTTCTCCTTGAAAATAATGAACACATTGTACTTTATTTGATTGAGACAACGTCATGGACATGCTGCAAGGCAAACTGTGACCTTGATGTAGACACAACACCATAGCTGTCTACTGCCTGTCTAAAGACCTGTAATGACTCAGTTCACCTGTGGCTATAGGACCAGGAAACATTAGCTGACCAAGTCTAGACTCCCATTCACCCTACCAACCATCCATGTGCAGTTTAGGCTGGGAGAGTGGAAAGAAACAGTGGGAACACAGTCAGGGAGAGGCAGAGAAAGTAAGGATCAGATAATCCTGATAAATAAAATCCTCTCTGTCCACCTGCTCCATCTTATATTTTCATACAGTTTTCAAAACAAACATTTGCCCTTTAAGGCACAGTTGAATTGGTTGCCATGACAATCAATCATCTGCTGTCAACCAATGAAGGAGCATATGGCTGGTCCAATCAATCAACCTTGTGTCAACCAATGAATAAAGGCTGTTGCTAACCCCGACCTCAGGGCAAAATGCTATTTCTATAAAGTTTAAACTATTTAAAAACTGCTAAAGTAAACCTGTTTTAACTGTTAGGAGCATCTAGAGAGTGATACAAAAATGAAATACCTAAGCTGATCACTTCTTTCAAAATCTGGATTTTTTTTCCCGCTGAGACCAAGCTTGGTGCTCATCCACAATGACAATGATGCACTATCATCTGGACATTTTTAAGACTCTATTATCTAGCGAAATGCAACACATGACAATATTATTTTTAAGTATGAATTAACACATACTAATAGAGGTGGTAATGTGAAAATATAGGGTTAAGAATGAATAAATATGTGCTCAGATAAACACATTTGTGTTTTTGGTGAGTATTTAAGTCAGATCTTTTGAATAATAGGAGCGCTACATTTATTTTACTAGTCTACAATGGCCAATTAATGTTAAACTGTTATTTAGATCAACTAAAACATTACATATCCCAACTCCTCACACTAAAACTGCACTTATGGAGATGTATTATAATGTCCCATATGCAGCACTTGCAGCAATACAATTTGTGAAAGATAGAAAGTGGGGGAAACAAATGTGCATTTTATAATAAAATATGAAGTCAATATTCATTTATATTTAAAGTTTCAATAGAAAAGGCTTTATAGCAGTTTAACACAAACAAGAACAAAACTTGGTACAGCTCCAACTTTTTGTCAGATTTCACATATGTCTTCCTCTTGGGCAGCTGTGGCTGCAGCTTCTTGCACAGAGCAGCCAGTATGACCATGACTCTCAAACACTCTGGCAATTTTTACGTTTGTGTTCCTGTGTACTCATGTGTGCAGTGCAAATGTTTTAATGTCCATGGTATTCAAAATGTATTTCCTTTAAAGGCTCGGTTAAAAAGGTTAACACAGTAACTGCAAGCAAAGGGAGTAAATGAGAACTGGTAACACAGCATGGACTCCATAGGAAAGCCGACTCAGACTGTGACAATGACAGGAAAGATGGACGAGAAAGAGGGGGTGACGTCCAGCCAGAGGTCGCAGCATGACCTCAGCACAAAGCACACTTAGTATGAGGTATGAGACTCTGCTGGCTTAACTTCAGGGCTCCAGCTGAAACAATCTCCGATGACTTTAAATAGACCAACAATAAAGACAGTAACAAAAAATAGGCACGGACGCTATCACTCTTCAGAAATAAGAGTCCAAACCTGAACTTAACAGGACACACTAATGTTTCAATTCCTCCAATCATTTGTATCAATCAGGATCATCTATAGAGCCTCTGTGCCATAGTTAAACCAATGCTGGAAATACAACAGAGGTGCAGTGTCAAACCTTAATGACACACATCACGGCACTAAACATAACAGACTATTAAATCTGACACTCTCTCTCTCCAACACCTCGCCAATCACACTCCAGATACCAAACATGGTCACAGACAAGCAGCTGATGTGACTGACGGAAACAATGTCGCTCCATGACAATATATTTCTCTATCTGTTTGAAGGATAAAGCAAATACACAGAAAGATATGAAACCTATTGTCCCAGCAATATATAAAACTTGTAAACGTTTGAAATTCAAAGTGATAAGAAAATCAATAATCAATTGTCACAGTCCAACTTACAATTTAACTCAATGTAGTTTTCTATGGTCAGTAGAAAAGCCTCTTGACTAACCATATCAATATGATATCAAATTCATGAGTGTCTGCTTATGACATAATAGTGTTTTGGAAAATGCTTCTAGTCTCAAATTCACTATTATCAAGACACTGAACCCTTTAATTTGACAATTGGAAAATTCAATAAAAAAGATCGTATCTCAGCTGTGCCTTTTTTGAGCTGATAAAATCCTGATGGAGACATGTTACACTTTAACAAAACATTTCCTTGATGCAAAACAACCACATGTCTTATGATCAGGATCATGGCTACATCAGTTGCTACATTTTGGAGCTGATTCCTTAAACTGACACTTCAAGACACTGCAGAGCAAAGTTTTCAATGGAAACTTTTTGAAGTACCATACATGTTTCCACAAAAAGTACAATTCTACATGTGAGAAAAAACAACCATATGTTTTCAGTAAGTAGACGAAGAACTGACTAAATAAGAAAGTTTAGGTGAAAAAGGAAATCTCACACATTTTTGAGGAGTTGCATCAGAGCAACTTCAGAGCAAAGCTAAGTAAAAACTGCCATGTTGAGGAGTACAGAGAGGCTTTGCAGTTACTCACCCTGTGCTTGTGCGTGAAGAGAGAACAGTCCAAGCAACAGCAGAGGACTCCGGCTCCAGAGAGAGAGACAGCGCTTCAGCCTTTCTCCCTGCACTGGCATGGTAGAGTCTGCCACTGCGCTCCTCTCTTCTCCTCTATTCAATACAGTCCACACGGCAGGGTCCGCAGCTCACACACTGCCTCTCCCTCGGAGTGTGTATGTGCCTATGGTATGTGCCAGGGAGAGAGAGAGAGAGAGAGAGAGAGAAGTGGAGTATTGGGCGGGCAAGCTCCTGTGTGTGTGTGTGTGTGTGTGTGTGTGTGTGTGTGTGTACGTGCGCGTGTGTGCGTGTGTCCACCCAACCCAGTCTCACGGCATTTCGTGTTATAGTCACAACATTTAATCTATTGATTCGTGTTCACCAACACGATTTCCCCCTTTTTTTTTTCGTGTCACACAGAACGATTTTAAAAGCAATGTATTTCTATTGGTAGGCCTAGTATGTTTCGTGCCTGCAACACGTCTTTTTGTCCGTTGAGGTCTTGGAAGACCGGAAGCTGTGGGGTTCATAAAAACATTTTCTTACTCAATATCAAGCCACGATTATTGATTTTATTTTAAATCGTATAATGTCGGACTTTTTTTGTCATCTGTGAGGAAAATAAATGGGGCTCAGAGCCTCAGAATACTGAAATCTGTATTTTTTAAAAATCTTTTGTTCCTTCTAATTTGTTATTCTTTTCTAAATAACACACTGTTATTTACTCATCAATAACACTATTATCCTTGTTTTTATTTATTTGTTTAATTCCATAATCTCGGGCTTTTTTGGCGTCCGCCAGGAACTGAATTTCAAAATAAAAACAACCGGAAACAGACGTAGGCCTATAAGGGACATTTCGAGCATCATTGCGATACACAGCCACTGAACTGATTACCCAAGATCCTCAGCCATGGTTTAAACTCGCTGTTTGGACTTTTTAGCCGCAATGCATGGTGTTAATGCGAAAAACATTTCTGAGTTTAGGATGGCCGAAGACACTACACTACCGATAATCCCCAGCTATGATTTAGGACTACTGTCCCCGTGATTAATCTTCAAACTCTGGGATTGGATGTTGGAGTGGCAGTTTCCCAAAATTAGAAGTTGCCAGTATTAAACACATTGGTGTTATCAAATGTAAAACATAGAATTAATAAATGGGTGAACATCGCTTGTGTCCGTGCAGCATTAATATATACCCACATGAGAGCTCATTGTTACTTTGTTATTCTACTCCACTACAATTCAGAGGTTAACCTGGTATTTTTACTCCACTACATTTATTTGAATTACTTTGCAGATTCTGATTAATGATGTGAAATATAAACAACCCTTAAATCAGACTTTAGTTACACCTGAGTAAAATTCAAGGAAGGTGATTGTCAAGTGCCAACTATCAGGAGAGATATTTGATAGTTGGTGCTTAAGACTAAACATTTATCTGCAATTGGCATGAATGGAAACGAGTAATAAAGTATATTCATGACTCGTTATTCTCTACTAATAATTAATTAAAGACTGTATATAATTGCTATTTTGCACATCCCTTTCAAGATTTCAAGATTTTCTTCACCACAACTATGGTGTAGTTGTGCAATGAATGAAAAACTTGGGTCGCAGCTGAGGTTCCTCAACAGTGCATTACAAGACATCTATCAATATGTGTGTATACCTCCACCATTAAACTGTCATATTCTGCACATTTCTTATACTATCTACATACATAAGAGTACAATTCATATGTATAATATCAGTTAAAATAAGTGCTTCAACATAGTTAACATTGCAGGAAAGCAATATATTAGACGTTATGTCAGGGTTGGGGAAAAATAGGACGCAAATGCAGATTGAGGAGGAAGCAGGTTTCAAAAGGCGAGCTTTATTTAACAAAAGCTGAACAAAAACAAGAATCCAAGAACAGGTACGAGGTAGCATCCAAACAAAGGTGACTGTGACCAACATGAAGGGGGACATCAACGACAAACAATGAACCAACACTGAACACAGGAAGAGACAAGACTAAATACAGGGAGGGTTAATCACGAGACGAGAAACAGCCGGGCAAGGGAGGAGAAACACAAGGGCAACAGGTGAACACAATCAGACACACCAGGGACACTAACGACAGGGAGGACAGAACAGCAAAAATAACCCCAAAACTAGACAGACAAAAACTCAAACCCTGACACATTAAGTACTTTGTCAGGCTTAATATTTATCTTTTGATACCCCCAAAGCTTTTTTCTTATTTAAAAGAAGACCTTAATCTAAAGTATTATTTAATGTTTAAATAAAGGTTAATTCGTTTTTCTGTTTTGCACCTCCTCCTATTAATATCTTTGTACATCCTGCACTCAACTGTTTTATTGTAGAGATCACTTATAGTATCTTCTTGATTTTTTATATTCTATATTTCTATCATTGACCTTCTACTTTCCCCCTATCAAAGTATGTACTCTTAATATTTGTTTCATCAAATATAACACATAAAAACAATAATTCAATAACGTGCTTTAACCACTAGGCGGTGCACACAAGGTACACACAGCCATAATAACTTTGTATTATTAGTGTAGGACACTTATGTATGTACAACATCTGAAGATGTGTAGTTTTATTCATGTTTTCACATAATTGTACAGCATATTGCTATACTATTTCAGACTCAGTATTTACATTCTTATATTCAAAGAAAATCAGTAATATCTTTATAAACTACAAGTCCTTTTATATCAGCTGTGCACCATTTTGGTGTAAATATAACCTATCTACGAATTAGATCAAATGTAAAAGTCAGCCGAATTAGTGTTGATACTGCAAGGAGACGTATTGTGTGAAGAGAAATTTAATATTTTGTATAATTGTTGATATATTTATGATCCACGTCAAGTATTCAGTTTCGGCGGCATTTCTTCCAGTTTTTCCAAAGGTCTTCTCATCAGGGCTCAATAAAGAACTACGGCAGATCTGTAATATGTAATGCAGCTGAACCGTGTATTACAATGCTGTTATGTGATGACTTTCAAAGAGAAAAGCAAGAACACTCGGAATAAAGTATTATTTTTTTTTTTTTAAAAAGTTTTTCGGATTTCATATTGCATTACAGTTTTACACGATTGCTAACACACATTTTTTTTTAAATTGCTCAGTTTCTCAGAACACTAAACACAATTCACAAAACCCCACACCCAAAGTGCAAAACACTTCATTTCTCCTGCTAAGTGAAGAACTGCACTCAAAACTACATAAACACTTACCAAATGCAAACTTTTGCACCAAATATAACACACTTCATTCATAATACTAGATCGTTTGACCACCCAACTACACACTGCTGAGCATAATCTAAAGCACGTTAATCTTTTATGGGCTATGCTCTGTACATAGAGGTTTCTGCAGAGAAAGATTGCTTGAGTTTACAGAAATACAGTAAGTGAAGAAATACAAATGAGTTGTTGAAAAAAAAATCATATTTTATTCAAAGATAACATTATGCAACATGCATCTCAGCACATAGTTACTGCTTCGGATCTCTCTAAGTGTGATGGCATTGTTGGCATGACCCCCGGTAAGATTTTATTTTTTATTTTGGAGTTAAATGCATCAATCTGGTGCATTTTGAGGGGAAAATAAAGAGACTAGATCTATGAAAACACCTATATTAAACAGAACTGTATACATTTCAATAATCATAAAATCATGGCCATAACCAATAACATACCATTTCCAATATGAAAAAAACACTGAAACTTGTTTATTAATTTATTTTTGGTTCATTTATAGTTGTGAGTGTGTCTGTGCTCCTGAATCAGCCTCTCCTGTCTCCCTCCTCTCCCCCCTGCTCCTCTTTGAGGCAGCAGCAAAGACTAGTTTTCTCTCAACAAGTTTTAAAAGTGTATCTTACCTTTTTTCACCTAGTTAACTTTTTATTTATTTATTCATGAATATTTTACTAATCACATTACATTTAATTTAGCTGACGCTTTTATCCAAAGCGACTTATAATGACCGATTACAGGGACATTCTCCCTGGAGTAACTAGGGCCTTACTCAAGGGCACACTAGTGGTGGTGTTCCTGGCGGGATTTGAACTCACAGCCTTCCGATCTTCAGCCCACCTCACTATCCATTAGACCAGGGGTGCCCAACCAGTCGATCGCGATCGACCGGTCGATCGCGGGGAGATTCCCAGTCGATCGCGAGATGTGTCTAAAAATAGAACAACAATATTCTGTTTTATCGTTAATGTCCTATAACATAATCTTCTTATGCCAGAATAATGCACTTGAACGCATCAAAGCTTTGTGATTGGCCGGCGTGACCCCATGTGTCGGGGCGTGGCTGGTGGGCAGTGGGCACTATTTCGCTGACGTTGTCCGTGTCAACAGGAGTGACAGTCCGCACACACACAAGACCGCAATTATGGCAGAAGCAAAAGAGCCCAAAATATATAATTTTCACTCCGAGTGGGAGGATGATTATTTTTATCTATTCCAATTCAAAGTCCATCTGTCTCATCTGCAATGCGAGCGTGGCTTTATCGAAGAAGGGTAATTTAGGAGCGGCATTTCAAAACAGTGCACAAACGCGACGAGACGGAATTCCCTCCTAATTCTGCCCTACGCTCCCAAAAGGGGAGGGACCTGAAAGGACAGCGAAATGCACAGCAGTCCATTTTCACCAGGCCCAACAACAAGAGCAAGGCTGCTACCATAGCATCGTATCGTGTCAGTCACGTTCTTGCTTAACACATGAAGTCTTTCAAAGATGGCGAAGTTGTGAAAGAAGCATTCCTGGAGGCTGCCGACACGCTTTTGGGGACAGTAAACAACAACAATAACAGTAGCATTTCAACAGGTTTTTGATATAATAAAAACTCAAGTTAGATACCGTTATTAATCAGCTGTGAGTTTTAGTTTGTTTGAACTTAGTCATTATAATTATTGTACAAATGGTATAAGAATGCAAACTTAAATTGATTATAGTCTATTATCAATTCAGGTTAAGAAACTAGTGTTGCTTGCATCCTATTAAAAAGGCATTTATTTGTATACTCTACTAAAATGCAACAAAAAAGGGTTTGATTCTATTAATTTTGTCTTATTTATTGCACTTTGGCAGCAGATTCCTGTGTAGCTTCAGATCTGAGTTGTCTTATTAGTAAGCCTAATTTA